CTGGTCCTTTGTGGCGTTACTTCGTGACGAGGTAATGAAATCGAAACATCTTGAAACATTGCAGAATTAAAAGTGTCGGCTTTTCACCGAACATTCGAAGTCTTTGAAATAAGTTGTAGTCAGAAAGAACAAAATCATTCTCAAAGGACAAGAAGGATCACTGACAATCCGTCTATATCTACAGAAAACAACCACCTGCTCGAACACCCTCCATCTTTGACTTTAGACTCTGCCAAAAAGATGGAATCTGTGACGCCGGACTACCGGACTCCGGAATGCGGAATACGCTATCTATTGTTGTACGCGCCAATATCCTGTTATAACTGGTGTGTTGAAAATAGGTTGTGAAAGTCGTGTTACTTGAAATTTTGAATTTATTCGATGTTGACATTAATTACCATGATAATAATGGTCCATAATAGCCCTTTTTGTAGTCAGACCGTGCCGTGCAATTTTTAGACAATTAATGACTTGCCACTGGGTATAATTACTTACTTAGTTGTATTTTAATCCTCGTAGTCTTACAACTATACAGGTTGGTATCTGTATCTGGGTATATTATTGAATAGAAAAATATAATAATAACCGTTTGTAAACGTGTTGAGGAAAAACTTCTAAGGAATACCGAAAGACCCAAAAGGGGGCACTAATACATTGCAAAAAAAGTCGGCTAGACTTCTTTGGCTATAAGGAAGGTGTAAGAGAATAGTTTCTTGAACACAGACTAATACACTATATTCCCTTCTCATTTAAGCTGTCATTTGCGGATTCATACAGTAGATTAAGTTCTCTTAACGGACACTCTCGTATAAAGCGAATAGCTCTACTTACGACCGCCATCACAAAATCCCGTTTCAACTCCCACGCAAACTCTGGATTTTTACATTCCCGTAGGCGGCCGCGGACACTAAAGGGTTTACCGGCGAATTAGATGTTAGCTTTGATTTAAAGCTCTACTAAGCAGACACTCGAAAGAAATCTTATCCACCTCTGAATGTTGTTTTTTTTTTCATATCATGTCCACAGTCATATGGCTGTTTGTCACTGTTATGAATCATTCTTATATATCCGTTTCAGAGTTACCGTTTTTTCACATACTCGTCCGGTTACACTTGAAAATACAAACTGAATTGTATGCTTTTACCTAAATTACAACAAGGCAAGAACATCAGCGTAACCATACACTAAAAAACAGTTTTTTGCTATTACCAGTGTTAATTTGTAGCTGGGAGGAGCTTCCGTAAGCGGCTATCTAACCTTTACACCACTTTTAAAGTGGCTGAATTCCACTTGCATAACTATGCTGCATATGAGATTCATTCTTGTAAGCGGCCAGATCCAGTTAAGGACACCTTTTTCTCGTCCCGAGGGCGCCCTCGTACGAGAGCTTCCACTGTATTACAATTTTAGGATTTCTCTTACATTTTAACAAATTTTCGCTTAACGAGGCACAGTCGAACCTACGTGCGACCACCCAACTTAAGTGACCACTTCCCAATAAGCGATCACTTATTCAACACACCAAATATATTATCAAGTCAAAGCGCTTGTAGTTGGAACCTCCTGTAAACGAACACATCCACATCCAGTAAGCGACCGCGACCACTTTTTACGATGACAGTCTGATTGAGAATTTTCCATGATGCAATGGTCTGATCTCTGCGTTCCCTGTATGTCCTAAGCTACTCGGAGTATGAGAGGAACTTTAGAAACAAATTAGATTTATCTATAGTATATTGTAACTTAAAAATTGCATGCAGTACATTCACTCCAAAAAGTAGATGTGTCCGCACTTTTCCTCGTTAAAGACCTCCTGCAGTTCGACTCTCGTAAAACCCAAATTTTCCTTGGGCAACCCCATGGGCATTATTTACTGGGTGTCTTCCGACCACGCACGGACCGGAACATCAAATGTCTGTAACTTAATTGTTGTGTCTGTCCATAATTCAACATCTGCCTGCCTCAGCACGGCACACGGCTGGGCACTAAACTGGTTTTGGTGCCCAAGAGTACGCAAAAAGGCCCTTCCGAGATCGATGTCTAGGACGAGAAAATTGACCTTACCTGGGTAGGGTGAGAAATTTGAAATCGAAGTATTACAGTTGAAGTATCTCTCGGAGGGAATGTGGGAAGGGTGTTAAACATATGGAAGCGGTTGTTTGAGAAAAATATCTAACTCAATGTGAAAGTGTGGTGTATTTTGAATTCTACTTGGGAACATTAGTGCCACAGTTAGGCTTTATAAGACCCCCAAAAGACCGTGCGAGAAAAAAAAAATTCACTGTTTATGACAGTCAAATCTGGTGCCAGCAGGGTAGGGCATTTGTACGCAATTTGGACACTCCCCCGGGGAGAAGGGACTCCAGTATGAAAAAAAAATGGAATTCTTGTCGCAAGCCAATCTGGACGTGTCTCACGCTTTATTTGTCTCTTTGAACTGGTCTGCACCAACATCCGGCTTCACTTCGCTGCTATTTCACGTGCAACTAAAATAGAAAAAATAGTTCTTTCCAAAACACGAAGACAAAACGACTTCTATCTCCGAGTTTGAGAAGACATGGGATCATTTATAATCATGGTCTGAATAAAGTTGCCAATAGATTTGGAATTCTAAATTATTTATCAGCATACAATAACAATAAAATAATCTCAGAGAATGTCGGAAAGTCATTTTGTTCACTGAACTCTGGCTCCTGGCTCCTGGTTCCTGACTCCCGATACGATGTTTCCGTATGGTGGCAACCGCTGCTTAAAAATGCGGGCTCCATTTAATGTCAAAGATGTCGGACGTTTGCAACATGTGAATTGAGCTACAACAGTGGCAGAAATAATTCTTTCAATGGGTTAAGAATCGGCTTTCTACCTTTCGTATTGTTTTGTCCTAAAACAACTTGATTTGGATTTTGGTGCGTAAACTGATGGCTAAGGAATTTTAGTCGTACAGCGAGTCACGACGCTGAACTACGCTGAACTGGACATCGAAGGTGGCATGAAGAACAAATCAAAGCGGGCACAAACTAGCAGTTGAGACATCTAAGAGATACGTATATGGATTTTATTGATCGTTTATATTGTTTTTAGGGCGAAATTGTTAAAGTAAGTAGAACTGTGAATTAAATCTTTGTATGTTGTTTTTACTTGAAAAGATCGCGTATATAGCTATCAAAAATCATCGTTAGCGTTTCTTGCACAACAATTTTTATGATTTTACCCTTATTAATGTTAAATCATTGTCTGATGAGTTTTTTTGTTCGATTTCTCCTCATTCAAAGGCAAACACACGAATATTGTGAGGGCCTGAATTTTGATGAAATTTGCAAAAGTCGTTCAGTCACATGAACAGTTTATGTCAACACATGGAAGAAAGTGAATTGCCCAAACTTTTTATGATCTTTTTCTCAACTTAAGTGATGGCTTTAACTACTCATGCAAAAGTTATAAAGATAAACGGTTGCTCATCAGAGATATTTGGGAATAAAATACCCTAATTTTACGTCTTACTCAAAACTTGGAAATGATGACCCAACTTAAGGGGGCTAAGAGGGGGGAAATCGAATCGGCGACTTTAAACAGTTTATTGTGCTTAAAGTCTTATGATGTCAGATTATCTCTCAGTGCATTTAAGTTCCAGGTGGCTTTTCTGTTTGTTGCACTGGCATCGTAAAGTTAGCTAATTAATTATGCATAAACGGGCAAAATGGCGATTTTTACAGGGGGAGCCCGGATCTCCCAGGGAATTTAATATTTTGACCTGACATTCTGTCACATAAGCTAACTCCTGATACCTAACATTTGTGCCAAGCTTGAGCGAAATCGGTGATTTTAGCATTATCACCCCCTGCCTGGTTCTGCCTGGTTTTCTCATGGACACACTCTTAATTACTGGCTCATTAATTCTTATTTGTACATGTGTACATGATCTGTATTGTAATAATTGTGCTTATTTCCTAAGAAGTGCATCATTATGGTTTCCAAGGACAGTATATTAGTCCCATTTTACCATGCCCCTATTATGTACATGTAAGGTGATGGTTGTCAATCACATTAATTTCTCTATTTTTTTAATGACAAATGGTCAGTCAAATTTTTCATGAGCTACATGTGCAGCAGTTCACAGTGATACTCACGCTGGCATGACCTATTGATATTAATGTGCCAACCCTAAGGGCATAGAGTTTTGAAACTAAATATTCTTTTGTTTTATTTGTTACACATTTACATAACAAAAACATTGTTTGTAAACAGCGAGTATTGCTATAAACACAATCACTTTATTTCTAACATCAAAGTTATGATGTATCTTTAATTATTATGATCTTTGCTCAGATGTGGATGACTTTATTGTTGACGATGAAGGAAACCCTATCGGGCAGGCCAAGAAGAAAAGGTGTCTTCCTGGAGCAGAGCATGATTTGTAAGTAAAGTAAAATTCCGAAAATAAGCCCTCCGTGTATAAGCCCATCTAAATATAAGCCCCCCAAACTCGTAACACAAAAAACCTTCCATGAAATCGCCCCTCCAATTATAAGCCCCCCAAGGGCTTGTAATTGGAAATTGCCATCAAATACAAAGTAAAACAAAGCAAAAATGGTAAATTTCCTTCCAACTATAAGCTAGCCCAATCGATTTTGAAACGCAAATTCACCTCCAAAAATAGGCCCCTCAAAAAGGGCTAAGCTAAGCTCTCAGCATACCAACTTGGTGTACTTTCTACTGACCTGTGTAAGCTAGTCCACCTACAACCAGGAATAATGGACGAGTAAGGTTGACTTTTTAAGTTCGTCTTTGAAAGCCCCTGTTGATTTCCACTGTCATAAACATAAGTTTATGCGGGCAAATAGGTTTAAAAAACAGATTACTTTAGATTACTTTATCGTGGTTATTATAATTTGCAGAAAACTTATTTCATTCATTGATCTTTCTCAAATCATTATATAAGTCACAGTGTAAAAATAGGTGCATTTCATTTTCAAGTGAGCAAATTGAATAAACTAGAGGCAATGTATGGAATTTCGCGCGCAATCGTGAAAGTTGAACCTTGTTCACGGATTTTGCGTTTCTGAAGCCTTTATTACATTGCCTCTGCTGATCTTATTCGCGCGAAACGTTTTTGGCGCACGCTCATGGAAATTATGGAACAGTGGAAATCCACCGTTAGACGTTTCATCTTCCTAATCATGATTTTTTTTTTGCATTTTCACAGTCTGCGACTGCCTTTAAGAATGGAGATTAAGGTTCAGGCATTTGATCCTGTGTTGGGACAGTGGCTGAATGGGACTGTTCTTGATGTGGACAATGGTGGCAGAGTTTTAATACACTGGGCAGGCTACACAAGGTATTTTGATGCGTGGCTGGACGCCTTGGAAGTCCGAAAACCTGAAGGAGAAAGGCCTTTGGATAGGCAATGTCCAGTGTTAAAATCAGATTTTCCAAAACGACAACACCCAAAGCATCTGCAGAAGGATGACCTTACGTCTGTGTGTGTCACAACCACGATTGGTCTGAGGCAGAAATGGTGGAAAAAAACGATTGCTTCAGATTAGAGGTGAGACATTAAGTTTTTCAAAATCCTATTTTTTGTCGGCAGGGTAAATACATTTTAACATAAGTTTATCTGAATAGATTTTTGGATGACAGAGAGACCCAACTGTGACCCCATATCTCAAAGATGCTCTTGCGTGACTCGTCAGCTAATTTTGGTTATCCTGTATTTCTTTCCTTGCGCTACTGTGTGGCACGCAATTGTTGCGTTTTTGCCCGCATTTTTTCAGCCATCCGCAAAAATAAGTTCCCGCGAATAACTTCAATTTGCCACACAAAAATACAGTAAAAGAAACTGTATCTGTTCAATTACAACTTGTCTCTTTCATTCAAAGACAAAGCAGTATACAATGAAATGAATACTGGTTTTACATCGCATACCGCAGTATTGTTTGAAAANTTAGAGAGAAACTCATTCTAAATGACGCTACTATGATGCACAAATGTATTAACAAGCTTGTTCCAGACTATCTTGCTGATATGTTTAAATCACGTTCTCAAGTCCATAATAGACAAACTCGATCATCTGGTGCTTTGGATATACCTTTATGTCGCCTGTCAACAGGGCAGCGCTCCTTTGCTTTCAGAGGAGCCAAACTCTGGAACTCCTTGAATGATAACATTAAGTCCTTAAAATGCCCCAGGAATTTTAGACGTCATCTTGCAAATGTTTTATTAAGTTGATATATTATATTATTGATATATATTTTGTAATTATAATATTATTGTATTTACATTCTCAATTAATTTATATATTTGTATTTTTTTTATTTTATTCTATTGAGCTGAAAAGCCCACTTAGGGAGCATCAATAAAGTGTATGTATGTATGTATATATGTATGTATTCAAAGACAAAGCAGTATACAATGAAATGAATACTGGTTTTACATTGCATACCGCAGTATTGTTTGAAAATATGTATCAATGCTGAATACTTTTTCCCAGCAGGAAAAATCAATCTGTCCTAATTGCAAAAATTAGTTCCCGCAAAACACAAAAAATCGCCAATCTGCAAAAATATACTCCCGCAAAAATTTCGTGCCACACGGTAGTCTTCAGGCAAATTGAAAGTACTGTTGCACATCACAAATATGACTTTTAATCGGGAGGAGAGGATGTCCGTATATCAAAATAAAGTAGTGATCTGTTGGGAAGCTTTTCGTTAACCAGCGTGGGCTTGCCGCATCTGCGTTTTAAGTTGTAAAAATGACAGCATGACAGTTTCATTTGTTGCAACGGAATGCTCGTATCTCTTACATGTATGTAAAATTACTTGCCTTATACTACTACATGAAAAATTACTGCAATTTGATTGGCTTAGAGCAGTGGTATTTCAGCTTAATTTGAAATGCCTACGTGTGAAAATTACAAGCCTTTTGCAGGTAGTAGTATAAACAAATAATAGCATGATTTGTACGTGATACTTGGCATAAATACCACTCGTGATATTTCAAAATTGTCTCAAATTTCACTCGCCTAACAGCTCGTGAAATTATGTAAAGGGCAATTCCACATGAGACAATGAAATTTTGAATTTTTTAAAATAAAATTTTGCACAATTATAATGAAACTTAACCAACAGAAAGCTGAAACAATGGGCTGTTTGAAATTACTGAGATCTTGTGCGTCTTGTCCATGCACTTAATGTGAGAAGGCATGAAATCCAGAGAATTTGAATCTCATTATATTTGGAATTTTTGAACGAAATTTTTAACATCTAAGAAAACATACAGTCAACATAAAAGTATTTGGATATTATAACCTTTGCCTTACACTATCATTAGGCTATAAATTATTATCCAGCAACCGGCAGTTTCCTAAGAAAATTGACATTGAATTTTTGTTGCAGACATTACGTAATGCCGCAACGTTAAGGTACCTTTTTTCAGTTCTTGTACACAGTGTGCTGTATTTTCATGTGCTATTGATGCTGCTCAGTTAGTCTGATGTATATTCTTTTAATTTTTAATCTCAAAACATTTCCTGGGTGGGTTTTCTATGCTCAGAAATTATAAGTTGAAAAGTGTTGTGGACATTACGTTGCGGACATTACATAATAGCCTGAATAAATGAAAAATCTAACATATTATGTTAGATTTTTCATTTATTCAGGCTGTTGCGGATATTTAGTTCTTACTAACTCTGAATTAGATTCAGACAACAGCCCACTTAACACTAAATTGCTTTTTATTGATGTACAAAATAATGTAAATGGCAAATTAAAAAGAGCTGGTAGCTTTTCCGTAATGTCCAATGAATTCAATTTAGAAACGATTAAAAACATTCTAAATAATTTACGATTTCTGTGATATTCTTGAAAATGGGCAAACATAGTGATTTTCGAATTAGTCCCTTCCATAAAGTAGTATAGATACATGACGAATTTTGCAGTACTTTAACAGGAAAATGGAAAAATATTTTAAAGAGTTTATATGGCTTTGGGGGACACTGTCACAAAATTACAGAGTGACATTTGTATGGATCTTTAACTGTGTTTCAAGAGTCATAACGTGATCCCTGTTCAACTTTAGAGCATCAAACCTGCTCAACCAACCAGTCTCAACATGACCTTTTATATGGTGGTGTCAGTTTATCGATTAGTTTAAATTTGAAACTTGCCCCAGCTCCCTATGCAACTCCAAAATGGCCAATGAGTAGCTGGTCAGGGGTTTTGTACTGCTGAGCATGCTCAGAACAGTTTGTAAGCATGCTTTTCGAGGAAAAGCACTGACCATCATTGTTTCTTCCGCAAACTTGAATGGGTATTATTTTTTTAACTAGAATTTGTAATATAATGTGTAGTGAACAATGTGCAATTTTAGTGCAAATTTACATTTCTATCTGTCTTTAAGTCAGACTGAATGACAAAATATGATAATTTCAGTAGCTAAATCAGTTTTGTAAAAAACAAAATAATATCCTCACTACTAAGAACGTTTTTTTTTTTTCTCACAACATTTACTTGAGATGTAATAAAATCAATTTGGAAATTACTTTAGGGAGTCAGTATAGCAGAAAAAAATCTGACTGGTATTGCATGATACTAGGTCTCAGCAGGAGATTATATAATATTATAAAAGAACATAAGTAAAGTAAATGATAGTTTCACAGCTTCATTTTTAGACAAGTAACTGCAGAACAAATGGACATAGCCACAGTCAGCAACACTGACTAGGAAGGGAATGATAAAAAATGTGTTCCCAAAAAATAATGTAATGTCCGCAACAATTTTGTGTAATGTCCGCAACACAAACTTTTGTTCGTAGAATCACTGGAACAAGGTTGCATGGAATTTTTCTTTGACTGTTGAAAAATCTTGTTATTGTTATGTTTTGAAGGCACAATTATTTTCTGCTCATGGTTAAAAATTCACAGGAAAATCTCTTTAAAGAAAGTTACTTTAAAAAGTGGTTGTTTAAACTGTAATGTCCGCAACACACTTTCTTCAGCTCATACCTTCAAGGTCTTAAGAGCTAACCAAAGCATCTTTTTATTAGGTACAAAGGGAGCACTAAAAAGACTTTCTAGATATGTTTGAACACCCTTAATGAACATTTTGACATCTAAATTGGGGTTTAAAATATTAATTTTAGTATCTGAACGTAATGTCCATAACATGGAATCACCCTATAACAATTTTGAAATATCACTCGTGGTATTTATGCCAAATATCACTACAAATCATGCTATTACCTATACTAATGTGAACAGCAGCGGTTAATACAGCCAATGGATACCTTTCATTTTCTTTCCTTCTGTTTTTGTATATTGTTAATAATTAATTAATAGGTTTTATTACTAAATGACACTAGCAAAAGAACATGACGACGTTTTGTAGTTTCGGGATTTTGGTGAGCCCATCAATTTTCTGGTGTTAGAGCCACACTGACTGTTGTCGTGTTTATGAAAGTCGTTAGCCTTCCATATCAAAAGTTACACTTCCTTATATTTTTGCTTTCAGTCATTTTTTGGTATCTTTATCTGACGATTGCTTTCTGGGAGCCCCAGGAAATTATCATTTAGATAATTTTATATATTTCTATTGAAAGACTGATTGACCTTGCGTGGAGTTCCTCGCACAATTTGATTTATCGGTATATTTCTATTATTATTTAAGGTGATGTTACATGAGACAATTCGCAATGACGGTTTTAGCACAACACAGCAAATTGTTAAAACATTGCAACGCGGTGTTGCGCTGAAAATCGTCCTTGTGAATCGTCCCGTGTCTATCACCTTTATGTACATTTTCTTAACTTTGATGAGTAATAAAAGCAATTGGCCCAAATTTTTTAATACAGTAATCCAAGTTTGACTTTTGTGCAAAACTTGTGAAAGTGTATTACATCGAACGAACACCAGTTTTGTCCTCTTGACGAGTCTGTATAAACCAGGTGCCAATCTATACAAAGAATTTATTTGCTTTCATCAGGTAACTCTGAAAAGCAGAAGAGTAGCAAAATATGAATACATAAAAGAAAACGAGCCTGAAGAAAGTGTTCATGAAGTGACAATCATGCGAGGAAAACTTTATAGATGTGATCGACACAGCTACATGTACCAACAAAGAAAGTGAATTACCGGACCAAGATCATTTAGTGAGTATCCATTTATTATTTTCTCCATCATCTCAAATTAAAACTGTGGGAAGAAACTGAAACAAAAGTGGTTGATTTTTCGTGCAGAATGTACATATTGCATCAAGACATTAAATTGGGACCGAGTATTTAAAGATGTCACATACGATTTTAATTTTAATTTTATTGTGTTTCTTTATGATAGTCTGTATGGTATATCACAACATATGAAGTATATGAAAATGGTAAAATTCCTGGTAAATAACTAATCAATTTACTTTGTGCCTCCGACCCGTTTATTCAGAATCCTTCCAAGGGACAAATAACATATGTTTTCTGCCATGATGAGCTCAACAATATAATTTTTCTTACACACTATGTAGGCAGAGATTACGGGAGTTTTTGTCAAAATCATTTAAAGTTGAGAAACTCTGCTTTTAGGGTAGTGGCGAAGAAACAGCCAATGAAGACGAAGAAAGGGAGTTTTATGATCTGCAGGATTTGGTGAGTGTATATACAATTTAGTCAATGTCGGATTACCTTTTTTATATACATAGAAGCGAAACCAACTGAGTTCATTCATTGAATCAATTTTAATAATTCAGTTGTATAAAGATAATTATGTATGCATTCCGGAGCCCCTCTCCCAACCCCCCCATTTTATCTTCGGTGATATTTATTTCCTGTATATAATAGGTGGATTTTTCCGGTGAATTAAGCCTTATTTCACATTCCTTTGAATTATGATTATTTTAATACCCGTACAGGTCTGTACAGGAGTTAAATGAGCTGTGTAACGAAATTTCTGATCAAAACCTTGGACAGAAACCTCCACAAAATTGAGATGAAACACACAAATAGCTGCTCAAAACGATAAAAGAAGTTATAAGTTCATGTAACCAATGTACAGTGTAGTTACAACAAATACAAACGGAGGCTCAGGAACTTTTTGCCTAGTTTTCTCAAAGGTCATTTTTGTTCAGTTTTGTAAGGTTTGAAATGCATGTGAAACCTTTTTGTTCAGTGCCGACACAAAGCTTGAATTTTGTCGCTCACGAGTAATGTTTCAAGTTCCATCGTGAACAAGGACGAGTAGTTGGCAACAATATACAAAAAGACCTAGACAGCAGTGACACAACCCTTTTAAAGTGAAAACTGATATCTGTGAGATCCATTAATTTAACCTAATGAAAATCTTTGACTGTCTTGCTGCCTTTATACAGGACAAAATGTGGGGCGAGGACGACATTGCGAACGTTTTGGAAAAGCTGAAGTTTGAGGATGCTTTCAAAGAAATTCGTCACAACCAAGAGAAACTTTTGCAAAATCAAACTGAGATTCAACAATCGTTAACCGCTATTGATGAGCTCTTGAACAAGAGACTTCGGAAAAGACAAGAAGCTGTGCAGATTGCAGCCTTTTCTTCAGTTTCAACCAGGCCCAGTCCAAGAAGTTCAATGGATTCCACTCCTACTACAGTCAGCTGCACGTCGACCCCTGTTATCATTCCTCCTTCCTCCCAAAGTTTCTCACTTCCATCTTCAAACCGTTCTAACTCACATGGTGTCGATAAAAATCCGTGTTTCAGCTTGGATGATGGTAATGACCTTACTTCATTTAACGCAAGGAATAATGAGGACACCCCAATAGTAAGCACACCATCCTCTCTTGCCACCCAAATCGAGCCCACTTTCTGTGATTTTACTGCTGGTCCTTCTAGTAGCTCCAGTGGCTCAGTGCAAATGGGCGGAAATACAAGTTCTTGTTCTTTGGGGGAACCTTCTAATCATTCTAATCCTCCCAACCTGTTGAATGAAAGGGACACCCCACTTGCCTCCTACAATGGGCCAATTTCCCTGCTGCCAATTCAACAAGTTGCAAAGGTTTTGTATTCAAATTGATGGATGGCATGTTCAACAAAAAGGAGTTGGCCAGTTCTAGTCTGGTTGGGGGTGTCAGAAAGTATAGAGAAAGTACATACACTAAACAGGCTCTGTCCCCAGGTAGAATGAAAAATATATTAATTTTAAGGTGGCCAAACTTAGGTTTCCCGCTGAATTTGCAACGGTGGCAAATTCCCCTGAATTTAGAAATGCCATCAACATGAAATGTCGCAAGACTGTGTTCAAAGATCAGTAATCCTTGCTTTATACGATCTTGTAAAAAATGGTGAGGTACAAATCTAAATTTTGCTTAATAAATTCTATTGACGAGCCAGTGATTGCCAATAGAGCTTGCTTCAGTGCAAGGTTAGCAAACTCTTTTTTTTTCTATACTGATAGACTGCCTAGGCTGTTGCAAAATTTTAAGAACATTTTAAGAATAAGCCTGATGCTGAGAAATTTTTTTGGTCTTGAAATTCTGAAAAAAGGTGCAATGTGTTTTTAACTAATCCACTGAGAAAATAGTTCCTTTCAATAAACGGAAAGAATACAGTTTCAAACCCCAAATACAGTCCAAAGCGGAAATGCCATGCATAAGGCATAAGCTGTAATAAAATTTATAACTAAGAATAATTCAAGAATATTTTCAATTTAAAAGCGACAGAACAATAAGAATATTCAGCGTAGGCGGGTAAAACAACATTCTTATAATAGATTATGTATAAAATAAGTGTACTAACTTGCTGTTTATTTACAAAGTTTATTCAAACTTGTAGTTGTCACCTGTATAACTATGTAAACATTGCTTCAAGCTAGTTCTATATTTTGTATTTTGTTTCACTTGCAATAAAAGTTTATGAAAATATAGGGAACGGCGTTTTCAAGTTATTTCTGCCTACGTATCCAGTTTAAATATCAGAGTTGGCTCACATGTCGCAAGCCGGATTGTTAAAAGCAGTTTTCTTTCCTTTCTTTAACTCGAGTTAATAAATTTTTGGAAAGTTAAAATTCAGAGTGTTGCCCATTCTGTATCATTCGGTACCGATTGAAAACACAATCGGAAAAAATCAGCACCTGATTGAGCGGCATGGGCGTGACCCGATGCCGATATTTGGACGCGTTCCCCTATCAAAGATCTATCTACAATGGTAAAGCAAGAATGTCAGTCTGCCATTTTGTCTCCTCAGGTGTTTGAACCAAGTGAGTTTGAAAAAGGAGTGTTGACCAGTAAAGACAATGAAATTAGAAATGCTGATGTACCTGAAAGATTTCAAGTCAGTTGTGAAAGCAACAACAGGTTATTATTTCTGTAAAAGATTTGATAATCTTCATGGTATTAATGTGAGATCAAGAAAAAATCAGGATTCAAACCTATGACAGGGCTTAAAAAAGGTCCTGTCCGGTAGTCTCGGACAAGTAGATTTGGATCAGTTTAGGTTTCCGAGGAACTGCCTACCTACCCAGGCCTACCCTAAGCCAACATTTTGCCCTCAGTAAAAAGTAAGTGTTAATGCTAGCTTAGGGAGGGGTAGGTGGGCAGTTTCCCAGAAACCTATATTGATCGGGAGATTTTCTTGCTGGGTAAGTAACTTTTGAAAATTATTTGCCCAATGGGTAAGGGTTCGGGCAAGTCATCCTCAAACTAAATCATTAACTAAGGCAAGCAAGAAGTAGCCCTGGCGGGGATGTCACTAAGATTTCAAGTTGCTGGGTAAATAAGCTGATTTAGCAACAGAACGAGAGTCAGTTGGCGACAGTGAATGCAAATCAAACAACTGGCTTTACCAATGGCAGTGCGAAAACTTGGGCAAGGGAAGTTGAGTTTAGTTGTTTCTGCGCACTGTCCCGTCGTCAAATGACGTTCTCGTTCTGTTGCTAAATCAGCCTAATACAACAAGTAGGCGGGGAATCAGACAGCTAGCAATTTCTTTTGATTCTATTTTTCTTCTATTTTTCTATCAAAGTAGCTGGGGGCCATGTTCGTAATGGGGGAAGTCCTTAGCTCCCGCCTCTTTATGACAGGTTTTCCTGGGCAAGCAAAATGCGAGCACTGCTTGCTCAAAAGACAAGCTTGAATTTAAGTTGTTTTAGAGCTCTGCTATGATCTCACAAACACTGGGCAGATGCTCTGTCCGCGGAGCATGAGAGAGACTTGCAGAGAGCAAGGCTGACTTCATATTATTTTAACATGCATCCTGCAAACTGCTTGGATAAGTAATGCCGAAAGGATAATATTGTTAAAAAAAGGAATTCGTACTTTCTTTATTTCAATTTACAAAAATGCACACCTAGGCTTAAGAGTTGCAGTTGACCAATCCAAATTGGTAAAGAATAACAGCACCATGAACATGTTAAGAACAAAAAAAACTAAATACGTGTATGGCAAGGACTGACTGATTTGTTATGAGGGTCACCACAAACTCTCAGAACAGGTTGTTTAATTTTCTAAAGAAGTAGCCTGCATAACGTGGTGGTGTTGTCGTCGGGAGCACTGCTGAGCAGCGAAGCCACGATAAAAATAAAAACCACCTGCCCAGTTTCATAGCCTTTTTCAACTGTCACTCCCTTCAACTCATTTTACATCCTGTTGACAACTTGTTGGTTTCAGTTTTCCTAGCCAATCAGAAATAAAGTGTTGACTGGTATAAAACATGACTCAAAAGCTCGTAGTATGGGGTAAAACATGACCTTGGAGTTTGCTTGAACAAACACAGTGCAGCAAAAATAAGATTTACTCACTCAAGTTTAGAAAACAGTGTAGTCATCTTACGTGCGAGATAGCAATATAAAAGAAAAACCTAAGTCTTATTTACTAAGAGGTCATGAAGCTCGTTTGTTTCATCCATATTGAGTAATTATTTCCTGTGGTTGATGCTTCTGTTATCTGTAGGTGTTTCTGATAGGATTTGTTGATCTCAAATGCAGTTGTAAAGCTTTTTATTGCGGCTAAATAAATATTTTAGCTTCCTTGGTTTTCTCTGACTAAAATGCCTGGATCTGAATAACTACAACCTAAGTTGCATTGGCTTGTAGTTTCTTTGTCTGTGTGATAATTTCCAGCTATATTTTGACGCTCAGGGCCCAGCATTTAAATGTTGTTTGCAGGATGTTGAATTTTTACGGACAGGGCGATCTTCAGATTTGAGTTGTAGCTTAAACTAAAGCTACACCAAGCATGGATAATTCTGGTGTGCATCTTTCTACTATTGTGTGCGATTCATCGACCACAATCGCCAACACCGTTTGATGTGGTGCGTTATTGTCTGTCACATGAGTAATAGAGAAAATTGAGGTGGACTTTCTCAAAGCAAATTTACTGTTTCTGTCGTAAGCTCCATTGCTGTACAGCTCAACAACAACATTTCTGAAATTTGGTCGCCTACATATAGCTACTTTTTTAGAGGCAAAATTGTGATCATACAGGTTTTCGACGAGGACATTATCTTCTTTAGCCATAGCAACGATGATAAAGATCATGCTTTTGCCAAAACCATGCAGTTGACAAAATTGCCATAACATCTCTCCTATGAAGAAGACTGTAAATGACCATTTCCTGTTCAGGCTTCAATACAATTGCCCTGTTTTCCCTGTGAATATTCCACATCATCAACGTTTGGGTCAATGATTCTTTGATACTTTGATTTTGTTTTGCAGAGAAGATTTTTTCAGTCACTTGGAACTCTGACCCATCGGAGATTTTGAGGGGCGAACATTCTGATCCAATTGGAACGATCTGTAAACAGGCATACAGACTATTCAAAAAGGCCGCCTGTCCAAGTAGGCGGTTTCTCGTTGCCACCGCCCCAATCTCCTTGCGGTTTCTCTGCCCTCACCTGCCTTTATTACTCTGCACGCCCAACCGAAACCACCATGCTACGCAAGCTACTAAAGAAGCAGTAGGTGAATGACTGAAGAAAAATAATTTTCTGAAAACTTTGTGGTTCCAATGTTCAGAATGTGATTTCACTTCATACTTTCAGAAGGCTAACCATGTTCAAGGATGAAACATGTTCATTTGAATCAGCTTATAATAATTATTATTTCTTCTTATTACAGTTGCGTGATTTTCCTGTGAAATCAACCGAAGATGGGGAGCTTGACAATGAGGCACAGTGGATCTACCGACATGCATTTCTGGAATTCCCAATATCACAACAGCAGGTGTGGCTTGTAGCAGTACATTTAGCATGCATGTATTGGTTTGGCCAGCTTTAGTGAAGAATTACAGTCAGCTGCTAAGAATAACTCCCCAAGATCACATTAATTAATGAATTTATTATTTGAATGTTGAATTCACTAGTAGTTGTAGATTTCAGATACATCTCTGCATTCCTGCATGCGTAATAAGCAGTGAATACACTTGACCTTGTGTGACTGAAATAAGACAGTGTGTTTAACCAAGGGAATGAAATGAGGCCTAATGTGGCAATTGGGTTCCATTTCTGCCTTCGCCACTCTTCATGGATTTGTAGAGTGGTTTCACTGTACTGCAGCTCCATGGTGACAGGTTTACTGTCTGGGGGATTTTACCTGTGCTGGTGTCTGTTACAGAACCTTGGACCTTCCTGATTTGTCAGTAAAATATTAGTCTGCTAAACAGCCATTCTTTGTGTCATCACTAGCCAGGATGATTGAAAAACAGTGGAATCAAGGCTGTGCTCTAGCAAAGCCTTGTGGCCCCTGGTGCATAACTTTTTGTCCTGGACCATTACGAGAAAACCTTAGTAATCGTAGAATTGATATGTTGGGCACCCCTGGATTTCACAGGTTTACAGCACTGGCTTCATTTCAATTTTTCTTAGAGCACAGCCTTGAAAATCCTTGATTAGCAGGACTTTTCCTGACATTTGTAGAGTGACCAACATCAATTTTCTCATAACAATATCAATACATAATAAAAAGAAAAGTTTATGAGAATAAATAAAATGATCACCTAAAGGAAAATGCTTTGATCTTTGACCAAATTCTCTCAACTGTTTCTGTAAGGAAATGTATGGAGATCAGTTTGGAGAATTTGTATGTGGATCTTGGGGCTTAAAAGCTTAATGATGACTGTTCTTCACTCTAGGGTATTCTGGACAGTGATACCTACTGTCGCACCAAAGCATCCAAACCATACTCTGCTGTCAGCAAGATCAAAGAAGCTTTAAACCTGATGAGAAATCAGCTGATTAGGGTTTGTTTATGTTTTGTTATTATTTTCTTCATTCCAGCTCGAGCTGCAAATAGCTTTGAGGCAATGTTCTACCACAAGTGGACCACCCTCTTTTCTTGAACAGAGGGTGGTCTGCCTGTGGTCCTACTTAGAATTTCCCCATGTCTGACAAAATCTCTAGATTTGGGGCAGCATGCAGCTCTTACAAGGCAAGCCTCACGAGAGAAAAGAGTAAAACAAACTTAAAATAAATAACAATAGACCCTAGCCTAAGAACAATAGTGCTGTGTGCTATTGAAGTTCCAGTAAAATAAGATGTTCTAGAGAGTTGTGTACTATCCTGGGGTGGGGTACTTCATGGCAAGGTTCCCTATTTTTTAGAAAATACTGAGGTTGACACTGTCTTTGCTGTAAACTGAGTTGTGAGCAAATTTTAAATTTGCTGTTTTACAATTGTGTGTCAATTCCCTGTTTGCTCAGTCTAGGCTAAAATCTTCAACCACTTGATCAGTTTCCTGGAAAATCATTCTTTGTTCTAGACCCAAGCTTTCTGATCTTTTACCCTATCGCTGAATAAACTGCTTGAAAAACCATTCATCTGTATCCTTTGGAATGGCACATACCTATATAGCCCATAATTGAAATGGCAGTACCCCCACCCTTCCTAGGAATTAATACCTGCCAGATTTTGCCTTCTGTGGATTTAGCATCACCAACAATCACTCTTGCAGGTTCCATTTATAGCCAACTACAGAAAAGAGTACATTGAGTCTGAACTTAACACAGAAGACTTGTGGAAAGTCTGGGAATGGGATGAAAAGGTGAGATATCTCAGTTTATACCTTTTAGAGATGCCTACACAATGTGCCTCTGGACACCAGCAATCTAGAGGGGTCCTGTTGCTCTGATTATCACTGTACTGGCTCCCACCCTCCAATATTCCTTTTCTGATATTCAAACACTTTGATACGTGAAGTTCCATCAACACCATTCTTTTGCACTGCTTGCATGTTCCTCAATATTCCAGGGGAAAGTTTTCCTACGCGAGTAAAGTCTTCTAAAGGCTCAACAAACAAAAAAATTAACATAAATGTTAAAAATAGGGGAGAACTTGATGATTACTATTTGGTTACTTAGTGGTGTCAGCTGTGCACTCGTAAGGAGAACCTGCATCGCCTGTTCCAAGAAATGCAGGATTATCAGTTCAACAAAATCCAGGAAAGTGGAGATAAACCTCTTGACGATGATACAAGGATTGAGCCTGAGGATATTGAAAGGTAATAAAAATATAAATAAATAAATAAAATATTGATTTGAAGGTTGTGCATCTACCTAATGTTCTTTGTCTACCAATAATTAAATAAATGAACTAAAATAATGATTTGGAGTTAGCACATCCACATAGCATAATAGTCATCAAAAACTCTTGAGAAATATGCCAGAGGAATAGTCCAGTTTTGAATTTTGTCATGGCTGCTGGATAAAAGCACCAAAGACTCGGTTGTACAGGGTGAGCCTCAACGTAATGTAAAATATTCACAAGTACCGGCTGCGGCAAGAAGGCACCTGAATTTGGGTTTCAAACAAAAAGTTGTACATAGGTATTTTTAGGTCGTGGCTAACTCTGTATAAATGAGTCTTCACTGCTTCTATTCAGCAGCCACAACAAATTCAGAACTGAAGTACAGCGAAACCCTGCCTTATGGCCACTTTTTTTGTTCGCCCTGTGAAACGGCCATACATGTTCTTGCAAATAACTCCTGTTAATTACGGTCACCCTTTAATACAGCCAAATTTTTTGGCCCATTGGTGACCATATTAACGGGTTTCCACTGTATTGAAAAACTTTGTCAAGTTGACAGTAGGGCAATCTGTATTGAAGTAAGTCAAGAAGTACATATAATCATCACTCACTTTCTTTGTCAGGCTGGATGGAGTAGAGACAATTGAGGAACTCAAAGATGTGTACAGTCACTTCACGCTGTACTACAGAAATGATATTCCTGCCATGTGGGAAGCCAAGAGGAAAAAGAAACAATCTGAAAATGAGGAAGCTGAAGGGGAATCCAAGCCATCTCCACCCAAACATAAAATGCCAGCCAAATGTGATCTGTATACCATATGCAGACAAGCAGGTGAAACACACAGCAGGCTTTGGACTGCGTTGGATTTTAGACCTAGGTCTTTTCAAAACGAAGAGATTTCAAAATTTCAAGACAGGAGTGTTGTTATACAGCTGTAATTTTTTTTTTCTAAATTTTAGACACAGTCAAACCCCATTGACAGTGAGGTGGCCATAGGAAGTGTCCGTTTTAATGTGGTGTTCGTGTTGAGCAGGTTAAATTTAGAGAAAATGTAAGCACTTTGTTTCCCAAGGGACAAAGCAAACTTTCCATAAAGGAGAGGTATCCGTAAAGCGGGGTTAAAACTATAGCAAAAGTCATATTCAAGTTGTTTTCTCAGTGAGTGTGGTTGACTGCTACTTTCAGCTGAGTTATACCACAGTTTTTGTCACCTCCAGGCACTAAATCTCTCCTACATGTAAGCACATTGAATCCCTGCCCCACCTCCACCACATCTCTTAAGTTTTACCACTGACCACCTTTTTTTCTTGTCTTTTCAATTTTAAGAAAATTCTCTCACCCCCCAACCAAATCTTCGTAAGATATTTAGTTATTCTAATTTTTAAGTCCGTGGATGAAATCCTTTGGTGTTACCATTCAAATAGAACTCTTTGTGAAGACTTTTGCCTTCTAATGTTTCTTTCTTAGGATTTACACCAAGAAGTTTGAAAGTATAACTTAATTATTACTTTTTGAAAGTATTGACTTAGAGGTGTGAGGGTTGATATTGATATTTATTGTATTCCTATTTTCATAGCTTCACATTATTATTTCAGGTGTGAGTGGATTGGCGAGAAAGTTTGGCTTGACGCCAGATCAGTTAGGAGAGAACTTGCGTGACAACTACCAACGACATGAAACAGAGCAACATCCTGTTGAACCAGATGAAACAGCTGAAAATTACCTTAGTAGGTGAGAAGACATTTCATTTTGCCTCAAATCAGCCAGGTCGTTTTACGAATAATTTGTTCATTTTTACTAGAGGAATGAACTTTCGAGATTTACTGTTAGCTGTATGAGCAATATTGTTTACTTCTTTATTTAGATTCACCTAACCAGAAAACGATACTTATAACAGTTACATAAAATTATTAGGCAGGGAGACCTCTACAGCCTAGCCAAATACCACATTAAAATTAATAATAATAATAATATGAAGTTTGTAACTAATGACTAAAGCCACTAATAGATAAACAGGAAAAAAATACAAAGATGGCAAAAAATACAGCAGTAGCGCAAGTGCAGGAGAGTCCTCACTATATTGCACCTCTGACCTGGGACAGATTGTTTGTCCAGGTTCTGATGTCATCAGCTTCGTACAGATGTAGAGCCTCATCGTAGTATTGGAGTAGCAAACATTTAAAAGAAGCTAGAGAAATGTGATTTGTGGGTAACTCAGCAGGCAGGACATTCCATTTGCAGCACATGTACATGTATGAAAAATGAGCGTTGATAAGTAACAGTTCTACTTTGCTTAGGGATACAAGTAATAGCATTGCTGCTCAATGACTTGGTTGATCTTGTTCATTGTCTTGTAACAGGCAGAGCTTCACTATCTATGAAAACTAGGTTAATTTTGTCTTCTTCCACATTTTGCCTTCCCCTCACCCTAAATCCTCAATCCTCTTTACTGCTGATGGAACATTTGTCCACCATAAATACTTGCCATCTGACTCCATTTTGAGCAATGAGTTTTGCCTTATGCCAAGTATTAAAGTCCTTGGCCCTCAAGGTCTAACTTCCTTGCATGCCTCTACATTAATTTTTGTTAGGGACTCCCTGTCTGACCCTTCCCCTGTGGCTTCCATTCAAGGACTGTCTTAGCCACCTATCCATCATTGTGGTCACGTCTGTGTGGACAGTCCATCTACCTTAAATAACAAGTGATTCTAAAAATGAAACAAATAAGAGGTAATTCAGTCATGTAGGCCATGTCCAATTATTTGTCCCAAGGGTGAATTGTCTGATAAATGATGGCTATCATTCATATGTAAACAGAATTCATTATCACATCGTGGTTCTCCTTATGACCTGATTTTGAAGAAAGGCATTTTAGAGCTTATACATGTAAGTAGCTGGTAATTTGTCCAAATAGTTTCATATTGACTGCAGAATTCATTATTTTCCTTAATAGCACTTTCTCAACTGTCAATCAAGTTCTGGAAGCTGCTCGGCATATGGTGGCTATGCAGATTGCAAGAGATCCATTGGTTCGTCAGTGTGTTAGGCAGACGTTCTATGAGAGAGCCAAACTAAAGATTAAACCTACTAAGAAAGGAAAGAAGGTAAAAAAAAGTTAACAGTAGCTTTCAAACACTTTAGGGATTTTGTTTTGATAATTTTTTATTTCAACTTTAAGGCATAAAAAGTAACATGTTAAAACCATGACATTTCAGTGACCACATTTGTTTGTTTTCTTTATCAAGCGGTGATAACGATGCCTTTTTTTATTTTATTAGGAAATTGATGAATCTCACTCATGCAGCACTTTTAAGTATATTAAAAACAAGCCTGTTAAAGACTTAAAAGGTGATCAGTTTCTGCGCATGTGTAAGGCAGAGGAAGATGGTCTACTAACAATTTCAATTGGAATCGACCTGGACAAGAGTGCAGGGTATAATAATAATAATGATAATGATGATGATGATGATGATGATGATGATGATGATGATGATGATGATGATGTTGATGATTTAGAGGTAGGACATCCAAAAAGTGGTTCTTTGTCTACCTGATTGTTGGTCAAATTGGAATTTGTGATGTTGGGTTTTGAAATGAGGGGAAAACCGGATTACCCAGAGAAAAGCCTCTTGGAGCAAAGGAGAGAACCAACAGCAAACTCTACCCACATAATTATGATGTCAACGCCGGGATTTGAACCCAGGCCACGTTGGTTGGGGGCGAGTGCTCTCACCACTGCGCCATCCCTTGCTCCCCATATTTTGAGGCAGAAATCTTTAATTCTTAGTACAGTCGAACTTCCCATAAGCGACCACCCAAAATGTGAAGATTTAGTGGTTGGCTATAGGAGTAGGTCACTTAGGAGAATCAAACTACTTATATGTCAAAAAAAGATTCCTGAGACATAATACTGTTTGGTAAAGAATTTATTACTTTCAGTTGGTAAGCTACAATATCTGTAGTTCCCTTTTTTTTCAGTTTCTAAGTTACAATAATATATCTGTAGTTCCATGTTGGTGCTGTGGATAGATGGTCATTCATTTGAGGTGGTCGCTTATAAGGGGAGGTTGCCCGTGGAGGTTTGACTATAGGAATAATAATTATGCTTATTTCTTGAAGAACTGAGCATTATTTTATTTTTATTTTATTTTGTCTTAAAAAAGACACTTGCTATTGCTTATATGTGTTTTCAGATATCAGACTTACTTTGATGAAGTAAAGCAACTTTATTACAGGGTGAGTGACAAGAACATGTTTTGCTCAATAGCCATTGTGTTGTGTTATCAGCTTACGGCTGTAGTTCTCCTATACACAGCATTAAATCGTAGTCACGTCTTCTTTTAGACTGCATCTTAACAATCAAACATTATTGTTGAACATCTTGTTTGTCAACCACAACATGGGATACTGGTGCATAAACAAGAGAAAGCGTTTGACCATACATTGAACAAAGTGAGCCCATTTTTATGATATAAACACCAATGAAATACCAGGTGAGCTTTTGCACGAAAACTTGATATCTTCCCATGTGAATATAACATGTTATCTTCACATGTGAAAATATCACCATTGCTAAGCTATAGCTACATAATAAATCGTGCCTTTCACACCATAAAACTATTAAAGTGAAATGGTTTGGTATTTCATTGTTGCTTATATAATAAATAGAACATTACATGGCTGCTTGGAGATACGAAATTTCGTGTCTCCACACGGCCATGTAATATCCTCTATGTAATAGTATGCACTACAATTAGGAAATTGTCATTAAAATGTTTCTCCTCATTTTTCAGGATGAATTTAGTCATCTGGTGCAAGAGTGGAACACTCAGAGGATGAATGCTTTATCGCGGGCCTTTAACCAGATGCTTTATCCACTGTTTGAGAAGGAACTTAAGCTCAAACTTTTAAAGGAAGCCAAGAATTTTGTGGTTAAGGTGAGTTTGTCATTGTTTGGAGCAGACAATGACAGATCAGGGGTGCTTACCATCTACACAAACCATTAGGGTGGAAATCTTGTGTATAGACATAAAACTACGGTATATAATTTGATGTGGTGGGAGAACGACCTGCAACAAAGTATATCCAAATTAGCTGAACAGACTGAAATGAGTAGAGAAATTGCATCATCTCAAATCACAGCATTTTCTGAAGCTTTCCAAATAAGATGGTGTAAACCATTTGATTTTCCAACCGGGATTTCCAGTTTTCCCATGTAAATGGTAATTAGACTAGAATTGCGAGCTCTTCTAGTTGCCCGCAATGATACGCTGTGGGTTTTCAAAACCGGGAAAAAGTTGTCTGATTTCTGTGTTTTTTTTTTTTTCTTTAATGTTACCAGTCATGCTGCCGCAAGCTGAGGTCATGGATTGAAGTTGCTCTGTATCAACCCGAGCAGCAGGTAGATGAACAAGACTTTGATGACAGAACAAACTCTGATGGGCTGCAGGTGCTGCCATGTTCCATCTCACCCAACCCTGATACCCCTGCCTTCTTGGCCATGTTAGATGGCGGAGGACAGGTGACGGACTACCTCAGACTCAAATATCTGCTGAACAGGAGAAATACAACAAGAGCCAAGGAACGTGAAGATAAGGTTAGCCATCTCTTTTGTTTTGGTTGTCGATGTTCTAATAGTGGCCAAACAAAAAAATTCCAAAAAAAATCAAATTTCTTTTTGTGAAATCATGAGAAATAAATAGTATTATGCAGAAGTTCTGCAAAGGAGGTTTCATTTAAATGGTAGCATCATTACTTTTAATAATTTTTTTCGAAAGTCTTTTCCTTTTCTTTTATTACCTTGATGGTCTTAGTAATATAATGTGGGATTTTGCTAATAATTTTGCAGCTGTAAATATCAAGGAGGTTTTACTAGGATTTCTGATGTGCACTCGTATTCTACCCCATCTTCGCTCAACAGTGACTTCTTACTAGACACTCAAAACTCAGAAACTTACCAAAATATAATACATTTGGCTTCTGATAAAACATAAGGGATTACTGATTTCTGTCTTATGCTACTTGCAAACGGACGCAACAACTCCCAACATTGTTGGCCGACAATATTGGGAGTTGTTGTGTCTGTTTACAGTAGCTAAAAGTCTGACCGGTTTCAAACGTTGCACAACAACATGTCACATCCAACAATGTTGGGAGTTGCTGGCCAATACTGTTGCGTCCTCTTTCACAGGGCTTAAAAATTACAGAACTCACTAATCAATGAAGATAAAATTAGCTCAGGAACTCTGACTAGTCTGAACATAGACCTGCATAATGTGGTTTATGAGTGAGAGTCTGTGGTCATGAGAACAAGGAATCCAAATAAGAAAAAGAAATAACTTCTACAAAATGAATTTGGAAATGCAGTTGCATTTTATTTGTATAGGTAATAGCATGATTTGTAGTGATATTTGGCATTAATACCACGAGTGATATTTCAAAATTGTTTTTCTTAATTTCACGAGCCGTTAGGCGAGTGAATTTTGAGAGAATTTTCAAATTATCACTAGTGGTATTTATGCCAAATATCATGTACAAATCATGCTATTATTTGTTTATACTATTACCCGCAAAAGGTTTGTAATTTTCACATGCCAGTATTTCAAATTAAGCTGAAATACCACTGCTCTAAGCCAATCAAATTGCAGAAATTTCTTATGTAGTAGTATAACTTACTTTAACCACTTTTGGTAGTGAAAAGGTTTAAAAATTAATGCGATCGTCGACACAAAAGTATCCTTTTCCTATACCGTTGAAACTTTGTCAAGTAGGACTTCTTCGCAGGTGTCCAACACCAACAGCGTCGACTTACAGCACTCCGTGAGAGACACCAAGATGACATGAAGATGTGCATTGCAGAACTGGAACAAGAGAATCAGATTCCGACCATCTCTGTTGAGGCGCTTGATGGAGAAGTGGCTCGCATTTTCACGTCCTCTCCCCGATCCGAAGTAAGTTACATGGAATAGTACTGTTTATTTGTTTTCCTTTTCAATTTGAAATTTCCCACTGAAATAGAGGAACGTTGCGATGAATAAAGAATGATAGTAAATTTTAACCTCAGGGAAAAATCGGGAAATGATGTGATCAACATGTCACAAGCACGAGACTGGAAATTTTTGGCTGAAAATTTAGGTCGTAATGAGTGACCTCTTTTACGTACATCATTTGAACTGTAGAATTATCTGAAAACAACAGCTCCTTGATATTAAGTGAATCTAGGGGAAAACGCACTAACAACATCATTATCCTTCGCTCATAGCCAATAACAATGTGTTCTGAAATTCTAAATAAAATGTATTATTGACTAATTCAGATCTCAAAGCCAAGACATGTGGCCAATTGGTTAGAAAACAGGTGTGACTCATTTCTCCAAAGCGTAGGGAGCTATGGCTGAAGTTCATTCCACTAGTTTACAAATGGCTTGAATTTTCTCTAGAGGAGGGGCGCGGGCTGCCCGCCCCCTCCCCCTTATTTTTAGACCAAATTGGCCGAAAAAATTTTTTTTGAGACTGGCTTTATAAGCTTCCTTTTAGCTGAATAGCCCGTCCCCAGTAACGATCTCAGAATTCTTCGTGAAAGCTAACTTGACCCATAATCCTTCTCGTTTTTTTGAGTGGCGGATTGGCAGCAGAGTAAAGCAAAACAAAATACATTTGATTAAATTTATCTTTTAAGACTTATTTTTCATGATTCTTATTTCCAGAATGAGTTTCTTGAGTACCCATCCCTGCTACGTCATGCAGTGTCACTTGGTCGAAGAATTCAAGATCCCCTCTCTGAATTTGCTGCCTTGTGTGTTGAGGAAGATGAGCTCCTTTGTTTAAGGCTGCATCCATTCCAGGTATGATCCAGACCGCCAGATGACAAATGTAAGATAGGTATTCTATGTTTTATTATCAATCTGATTTTAGATTGAAGATCACTTCAGGTGCGAACTGAAAATTGTTAAATGATCTGTAGTTTTCATGTTGAGAGTGCTGTGTGCTGTAAATGAAGAAATCTTTTACCAACGTTGGGGCGCAAGTTTGAGACCTTAACATGTTTCTTTTAGTACAGTGTGTGTTGTACTTCCATCATCAACAACAACAACAACAATTTATTTGACTTATTGAAATATTTGCCAGACTATTCCAGTTATTTTTTGACAAGGATTTCCTGATACCTCGGGAAAAGGAACCACCAGGCTTATGGGAGCTGACCTTTAAACCTTGGGATGAACTGTTTACGTTGTCTCCAGTTTTGCTTTTCCTTGTTCCCTTTTGGCTGTTTTGTATTTCTTCGGTGTCCTTCAGTTTAAAGTATTGTTTTAATGCGTCCGTCAATTATGTGATACAGTAGACTGTATTAGACTGTATTAGACTGTATCACATTCCCCCATTATTCCTTAAGATCGCCTCGATCGGGCAGCCACCGTGGTTTCAAATGTACAAAGTCTACTAAGGGGGCGGGGGACGGTTTGGGAGGAGTCGAGAAACCCCGGGGCACGCCCCCCTGCCCCCCCCCCCCGGTACATTTGAAAGCAAGGTGACTTGTAAGCGCTCGATTCCGATGATCTTTCTGAAAAATAGGGGACTGTGAACATTCTAATTACATGACGGTTGATTAGTGCTGAAATGAGCTAACATTGCGTGACCTTCCTCTTTGAATAAGTAGCCGGACATGATTAGAGTTTTGTTATTCTGGGAAACTGCCCACCCCTCCCTTAACCCAGTGTTAACACTACCTCTCACTTAAGAGAAAATGTTGGGTTAGGGGAGGGATAGGTGGGTATTTCCTAAGAAACGTGTGGTCTTTGTTTTAGGACCACGTACCCAAGGAGCGTCTCATCAAGTGCCTTCATGAGGAATTTGTGACAGTGGTAAATGAAGTAGGCGTTGACCCTAATCGCTTACTGGAGCATCCCCACACAGTGGCTCTACTACAGTTTGTTTGTGGACTGGGACCAAGAAAGGCCACTTCTCTACTGAAGGTACATTCTTTTACCAAAGTTACTTTGAATTGGTTGTTATCAGTGGCAGATCCAGGGGAGGGGCCCACGCCCCCCTTTATTTTTAGACCAAACATAGACCCGCAAGGTCTAAAAAAAAATTTTTTGAGACCGGGGCCCCCCCTTATCTCAATGTTTGGATGACCGACCTCCCCGCACCTCCTCCTTCCCTCCTCCCAAAATGTACAGATGTTTTGTTAAAAAGCCACTTACTCTTACTCCCAACATTTCCTGGAAGGCAACAAAGTCTCGTTCTTTATCTTTAAAAGTACATAAAATCAAAAAGCACCTGATAAAGGAGTACTGAAGGGCGAAAAATTGAGGTTTATCGACTGAGTTGATTGCGTCCATTTACTTCTGTAATAGAATAGAAAAGATGGCATTCCAAGCAGAACTAAATAATCAACTCGTGCGACTACTAAAGAGGTTTCATTTGACTAGTAAATCAACAGGATTTCATTCACAGACTCCAAAGTTAGGGCTACATACTAAATAAAATAATGTACCATGTAAATGTACTGCTGAAGAGGTTTCATTTGTAAGGTAACACCACAGGATTTCATCCACAGACTCCAAAGTTAGGACTACATTACATGTCGTCATATTAGTGGTCCCCAAGTAAAATGATGTAATGGTGGTGTGGGGATGAAAGTTGCCTTTAGGTTCAACCTTAGGTAGATTGGGTTTCTGTGTTACGGATAGTATAGAGGTCAGAAGCCTCCAAAAAAAGTTTGTTTTGTTCAAAACATTGTAGTTAACAGGTTAGTTAATAGTGTTTGCTGTGGAGTTTGTTTTGAGAATCACTTTTTAACCTTTTTTTTTTGTCAGAGCTTAAGGCAGCAGTGTACCAGGTTGGAGAATCGCTCGCAGCTGGTGACCGTGTGTGGACTTGGACCTCAGGTCTTTCTAAACTGTGCGGGATTCATTAAGATTGACACAGCAGCCATCAGCGACACAACTACAAACTACATAGAAGTGCTTGATGGGTCTAGGATACATCCTGAAACATATGAGTGGGCCAAGAAAATGGCCGTTGACGCCCTCGAGTATGACGAGGTAACGAAATTAGCCTGCGTGGAAGTTGCGTGGCAACTGTTGGGAATTAAGGCGCGCGAGGAAGGAGGAAGGGGGAAATTCCCTTCCTTCCTTCCTTCCTTCCTTCCTTCCTTGCGCGCCTATCGCGTTCTTGCGCGATGGCTGTTGACGCGCTTGAGTATGATGAGGTAGCAAAACCAGCGTGACAGTAAATTGAAGTTGAAAAAGGGGAATTAATGCGCGCGAGTAAGAAGGAAGGGGAAGTACCTTTCCCTCCTTCCTCGCGCGCCCAACTCGTTCTCACACGCGTTAATTGTCTCTTCCCTTCAAAAGCCGGCCATGCGGGCTATAAGTTTTAAAGCTAAACGATATCGATATCAGCGAAAACGCAAAAGCGCAAATTGGCTTTTCGCGGACAACGCTGCTTTGTATGGTGTATTCAAAGATTGCAATGATGCAGAGTCACTACAGCAGGACCAAAACGCACTTGTACACTGGGCAGACACATGGCAAATGTAATTTAATGCAAAGAAGTGCACCATCCTTAGAGTCGCGTGCTCGAAATCTCTAGTTGAATACCAATAATACACCATCCACGGAGAACCCTTGGAAGCTGTTGATCACCACAAGTACCTTGGAGTTGAGCTATTCAGTGATCTAAACTGGGATGTTCATATTGCTGGAATTATAGGCAAAGCCAATAGATCTTTTGGCTTTACAAGAAGAAACCTAAATAAGCGCCCAGAAAACGTAAAAGAGCAAGCCTATCGTGCTCTATTTAGACCAGAGCTTGAATATGGATGTTGCGCATCGGACCCGCACATTCAAAAACAGATAAAGGACATTGAGGGTCGGTTATTTAAACGAAGTCTAACTTAGGGCGCGGCTTAAGAAACCATTGGACCTCCAGATCTCTTTCTTAGTGAGTTGATTTCAGAAAGTAAGTGATTTTCTAGTCTACACCATCTGCTTGATTGAAATTATTTACGATAAATGGTGTTAAGATGAAAGCGTTGGACAAACTGAAAATGGCTTAGAACGCGGTTTTGTTAAACACGGACTAACCTCCTTTTAAATAACTAGCCCTGAGAGTGTGTCGAGGGGAGCGGCGTGCTTTGTTAAAAATGAATACAGCACCACTCCTGGAACTGTCACAAAAATTCTGAATTATATGAAATAGCCAACACACGAGAAAAGAAGGAAAGTGCCACGACTCACAATGATGTCTCAAGTTGTTTCTGGTCTATCAGCGATACAATTTCCACCCTTATATTATTTAAAAGGTGACAGGGCACAAGGTAATTCCATCCTAAGAAATTCACTCAAGCTAGTGCCAAATCAAACAAATACCAACACAGTTTTATTGCACGTACAATCAGAGACTGGAAGTCTTTTCCAAATGGTGTTATTGAAAACCAGTCAATGGAGGCTTTAAAAATGGCCGTCACGTGCTATCTTTAAAAACGCTGACCTGGAACCTTTTATTACTATTATTATTCATTATTATTATTATTATTATTATTATTATTATTATTATTATTATTATTATTATTATTATTATTATTATTATTATTATTATCATCATTATTATTATTGTTATTGCCGTGACGGGATATCCCCTTTGCAGATAACATGATAAGAATTAGAAAAGCTTTCACCTAGCCAATGACACTTATTACAGAAACACACGGTCGTTTTGATATTCTTAGTAGCTACAATCTCTCGTGAGTTATTAACAAGTTTGTTCTCTATCTATTGCACAGGCCACAATGGATTCAAACCCTTCAGCAGCATTGGAAGAAATTCTTGAAGCCCCAGATCGGCTAAGAGACTTAGATCTCGATGCTTTTGCAGAAGAGCTTGAACGGCAAGGATATGGCAACAAGGGATTGACATTAATGCTGTAAGCTCTACTCGACAAACCAGTCATGTCCCTCGCTGCGGGGGGCATGGCGAGGGACAGCCATCTCCTTGCGAAGTCTAATAACTGTCCCCTTTGTTTGCTGAGAGAAATACAACCGTTCGACCAGGTGTGTAATGTGACCGGGTTTGCGAACAGGAAGCCACCACGTGACGTTATTGATCAGGCCCAACCAGTCAGGAATGACGAGACTGGCCAATGACAGTGTCCTTTCTGTCTGCAGGATACCTTCCCCGATATAAGCGAGGTATGAACTCCACCCTAGTAGAATTTAGTGCTTCCCTACATCTCCCCCCGCCCCCCCAAAATAAAAGTAAAAGTAAAAAAACTTGTTAGAAATGACGAGACTGGCCAATGCCAGTGCCCTTTCCGTCTACAGAACACTTCCCGGATCAAATCATAGTCGGAACTCCACCCTGATAGAATTTAGTGCACCCACAACCTGTAAGGAATAAGGGCCAATGGCAATGTCCCCTCTATCTACAGGACACCTTCCCTGATCTAGGCGAGGTAAAAACTCCACCGTGGTAGAATCTAGTTCAAAACAACCCCCCACCCCACATATCTGAGTGGCATTTTATACAGCGTTTTGGCATAACGTCACATCCGCAATGTTGGTGTCCCAAATTAATCCTGTGGTTAAGTAAACTCTTTGTTTTGTTTCATTTTTAATTTGCAAAGCTGCTGTCCACGCGAGTGACTCTGTTTGGGTCTCCTACTGGAGACGAAAGTGACAGCCATTTTCTGTGGTCGTCCGAGCTACGCGATGGTCTACCCGTTTACAGGAAAAAGGCAGCACCTTCATTTCTCAGCTTTTTTAAGGTGATGTTACACGAGACGATTCGCAACGACGATTTTTAGCGCAACATTGTTGCAACATTGTTACATTGTTTTGAATTGTTACTACATTATTCAAACATTACAATGCTGTGTTGCGCTAAGAATCGTCGTTGCAAATCGTCTCGTGTAACATCACCTTTAAGACCCTGACTATTGGTCCTGTCCCAGGAATCAATCCCGTGACCTTCCATTCTGGAGTAAAGCTCTCTACACACTGAACTAATTCTGCCACGGTCCAACTGGTGGAGAGGTTGGCTGTGCGGCTTTGAGAAAGCTCGCAGTAATGTAAATTTTGGGCTGAGTATATGTTTTTGTGTACGTGTAGGTGTGGACACATCTTGATAATGGAAGCTGTGCTGGGCAGGCGATTGGGGTGCGCACAAGAATGGAGAATGGTCTGTCGGGATTTATCGCTACTAAGATGATAAGCGATAAGCATATAACCACCCCTCATGAAAGAGTCAAGGTAACCTCAGTCACGTGATTACCTAGAATAAATTCTTGAATAAGAGTATTGAAATTTATTCTGCGAGCAAGCTCTCCCTTTCGAGTTGTGAGAGAACATTCGTGCGAGCGAGCGGCGCAGCCACGAGGGTCTAGCTCTCGCTTCTCCTTTCGCGTGCTGCTCTTGCGTGACCTCTCGCGGTATTCCCAAAATGAAGAGTTTCCTCGCAGTTTATCTCAGTTTATCTCTGTTTATGTCTACTGTTTCGCCTGCTTTTGTTCTTTTGAACCCGATTCTGAGAACGTGCTAGAGTCACGGAGCCTTATTTTGTTAAACGAATTCTTGGCTCATGCAGGGCTGTGAGAAATGCGACTTACACAGCCACACCCAAAGAAAAAACTCGCTCCATAACTTACACTCAACCTCGAACTCTTTCAGTAAGAGATATTGAACGTGTTATATTCCTGAATCCGCGCGCGAGCAAGATTAAGCGAATCATGTGTTCTGATTGGCTACCCGAGCATCTTGCCACCTCGGGATATCCCGCGTTAGTCCCGCAAGAGAAAGTTCTGGTTATTGGCCTTGTTCTTTTTTGCGTGTCATTGACTTCGACTTAATTTCGGTCCACAAAAACGCAAAAAAGAACTTGGCCAATATACAGCCATCTTGACCTCATACTTGGTCATTAAAGCATTTATCATACCTGTAACAAGTATAGATGCCAAGACACCACTTGTTTCATGCTACCGACACATTGTTGAACTATATAATTTCAGGTGGGCATGACTCTGCATTGCCGAGTGACGCGCATAAACATGGAGCGGCTACAACTTGATCTGACCTGTCGCTCGTCCGACCTGGCCGATAAAGAAGGAAAATACAGGTACCTTGCTCACATGTAACCATTAATATTGCGTAACATCTGCTTTTAAAAACATTCTTTCTCACCCCTTTTATGTATAGAGGAAACCTGTTCCGGCGCGGCGCGAAATGAAGAGGGGGGCGAAGAAGAAATCTGCCCTCCCCCCTGTTCCGTCTTGGCTTGCCTATTCCGGATGCTTCGAGGATTTCTAATCGCCTATAACAGGCTAACATAGCTGTCAAGAGGGTAGCAAAAGTGTTATTAAAGATTAAGTGTCTTTAGTTTTAGACAAATTCTCTCTGCTAATGTCAGATTAAGTGTGTGGGAGAATATGTATTATGCTATTAGAGCTGTGAGGATGAAAGTAAATAGATTTTTCAATAAATGATCTTGTATGAAACGTAGTATTCATCCTGGTATGTGTGTAACGGGTTCGTTTATATGGTCCTTTTATCGTTTGTTTCATGATGGTGGGAGTTTGGTTGTAAATAGTCGTCGTAGTTATTGATCGCGACCTTTCGACGGCGTACTGCAGACCTTTAGCAGGCGATAGTGTCGATTTGACTAAGTGGGACTATTAGCACCAGCGAAGTTGCTAGCGATTGGTGTATCACGAACCACCAACTTTTTTGTAGTTATAGATTTTACTTTGGATAACCATGGGCTTTGATATGGGTCTTCTTTCCAGGTCTCTGTAACTGATAAAGGGATCTGCAGTTATATAGTAAATGATATTTATTATTTTTGTTGCTCAGTCCTCTTAAAGATTTGTATTATGATCACGATTCTGCTGACGCTGATAAAAAGGAAGATGAAGCGGTCAAAAAGAAAGCAAACAGACCAAGTAAGTACACACCTCCACTGACGGACCTGATAACTTGCTCTTTTTTGTCCTTAAGTGTGTAATTCGATCGCAGGAAAGCATCCATAGCTTTAGCGGGGAGGGGATCGCTTAGTTAGATTGTTCTTAAGTCCTCGTGGATCACTGACTTCGAAACGCCGCTATCTTAATTCGTAAGGTGACTGAAATGAATGAGTACAAATCTTTCTGTCAACAAGAACTAACATTTCAAAATTTTGACCTGATTGGTCGTTCTTGGGGGCAGTTCGCCAAAAGCATGTTGTGTGCAGGCAATTAATAAAGAGTTCGTTGAAGTGATCGTGCTTGTTGGTCATCTAGAAACACTTAATGCGGTAGTTTTTTTTTTTTTTTCAGTTAGTTTCCCTTGCTTTTACTCTAGGTTAACTCTGTCCTGTTATTCAAATCTTGCTATTTAGAATACGTGAAGCGTGTGATTGTACACCCAGCATTTAAGAACATTTCCCTCAAGGAAGCCGAGAGACTCTTAGCTGAAATGGACCAAGGAGAATGCATTGTGAGACCCAGCAGCAAGGTAACCATGGCAACCAGTCAGTGATATGTACCGATTTCCATGCACGTTCACAGGGGACCACACAGTTTTTTTCGTTTGTGTCGCTATTGCGTTGGACTGGGTGGAGGCCGAGTCGCAACGCCATAATGGGCGCAGCCACAAATGGAACCTGTGGGCCAGGGCCTATTGTTACCCAGTTTAACATTGCTAATTGATGAGCTTGGGAACTGGTGCCTTAAGAGGTAGCGGGGTAGGACCTAAGATAACCTAGAGATAGCACGGAGGTATCCATAGCAACCCCGCAAGAGAGAACCACACATGCCACTCTCCGGTGTTTCGAGAACCGCAGGTTCCCGACAGGGGGTCACATGGAACTTTCGACACAAATTGTTCCTTTCTGTGACCCTGTTATCATTCAACGTGAAATTGTATTATTCTTGTTTTACTAACATCAATTAACTTAAAAATCGACATGCGGGTAACTATAGAATAACTGAGCAACGGCCTCTAGCTTGCTTAGCTCGCGAGCCCTTTCGTAGCTTTTGCTAAACGCGGTGAATGACACTCAAATACACCTCAATTGAAGAGACGTTCTTAGTGGTGTAAGGTGGAAACCGCGGTATTGTAGCCGGTTATGAGACAGACTGCAAAACAGTTCGTATTTTTGCGTATTCAAGTACGCGCGAGCAGTCAAACAAAAGGTCTGGAACGAGGCTGAAAACAGAAAGCGAGACTGGGGACGCCACCCTTTACCGATTTCTTTCCTGATTTTGAGACAAAAACCGACTGTTTTGCAGTCTAGTTATGAGATGGTCTCGCTATCATTTATCTAGTATACTTGTTTCTCTTTCCGTCAGGGTGCCGATCACCTGACCGTCACGTGGAAGGTTGATGAAGGAGTTTACCAGCACGTGGATGTGAGAGAAGAAGGCAAAGAGAACGCTTTTAGCCTTGGTCGGTCACTTTGGATTGACAGTGAGGTGCGTTTGGGATCCTTCTGATATGTCTGTAAAGGTTCTTCTATTTATTTGATTTGAATGCTGTTCATATTAGCCTCCCACGCAGAGGTTCTTAGGGTTTCGTCACGCGTTCCTTCCCGTAGGGAGGATTGCGTGACGAGCAAAAATAACGTCTGCTTGGGAGTTTATAGTTATATGCTGCATCAGAAAGTTAAAAGTGCTAAGTGTTTAAGAAATTGTTATTGGCAATTTTGAGGTTGCGCCGCCGCGTGAGACTGGGTCGATATTGTGTCGAAATGCACTCTGGGACTGTTTTAGGGGCGCTATCATTTTCTTTATTGGCTACTATAAGGTTGTGAAGAGACTGGGTCTTAGGCTGTGTTCACACTATGACGGATAGCTTTTGCGCTTGCGCGAAAACCATACGAAATAGGGCTTCTGTTAACACTTAAGAACTGTGATTGAGGCGCGATTTTTGTGACGCAGCGCCGCGTCCTTCTCTAAAGTGGAGAGAGACATATCGGATAGGTGTCCATACTATATGGGCACGAAAAGTCACACAGTGTCTTTTGGTCCAACACAAACCCAGATTTACACAGTGCCTAAAAATAGCCAATAAAATTGACTCACTGTTATAAATTTGGAATATTGTAATTTGCTTTGTAGGAATTTGAAGATCTTGACGAGATCATCGCGCGGTTCATTCAGCCCATGGCGTCGTTTGTTCGAGAAGTTCTCAACCACAAAAACTACCGCGCCGTGGACGGCGTCAAAGCCAAGCTTGTAAGAGTCAAGGTAACCTCAGTCACGTGATTACCTAGAATAAATTCTTGAATAAGAGTATTGAAATTTATTCTGCGAGCAAGCTCTCCCTTTCGAGTTGTGAGAGAACATTCGTGCGAGCGAGCGGCGCAGCCACGAGGGTCTAGCTCTCGCTTCTCCTTTCGCGTGCTGCTCTTGCGTGACCTCTCGCGGTATTCCCAAAATGAAGAGTTTCCTCGCAGTTTATCTCAGTTTATCTCTGTTTATGTCTACTGTTTCGCCTGCTTTTGTTCTTTTGAACCCGATTCTGAGAACGTGCTAGAGTCACGGAGCCTTATTTTGTTAAACGAATTCTTGGCTCATGCAGGGCTGTGAGAAATGCGACTTACACAGCCACACCCAAAGAAAAAACTCGCTCCATAACTTACACTCAACCTCGAACTCTTTCAGTAAGAGATATTGAACGTGTTATATTCCTGAATCCGCGCGCGAGCAAGATTAAGCGAATCATGTGTTCTGATTGGCTACCCGAGCATCTTGCCACCTCGGGATATCCCGCGTTAGTCCCGCAAGAGAAAGTTCTGGTTATTGGCCTTGTTCTTTTTTGCGTGTCATTGACTTCGACTTAATTTCGGTCCACAAAAACGCAAAAAAGAACTTGGCCAATATACAGCCATCTTGACCTCATACTTGGTCATTAAAGCATTTATCATACCTGTAACAAGTATAGATGCCAAGACACCACTTGTTTCATGCTACCGACACATTGTTGAACTATATAATTTCAGGTGGGCATGACTCTGCATTGCCGAGTGACGCGCATAAACATGGAGCGGCTACAACTTGATCTGACCTGTCGCTCGTCCGACCTGGCCGATAAAGAAGGAAAATACAGGTACCTTGCTCACATGTAACCATTAATATTGCGTAACATCTGCTTTTAAAAACATTCTTTCTCACCCCTTTTATGTATAGAGGAAACCTGTTCCGGCGCGGCGCGAAATGAAGAGGGGGGCGAAGAAGAAATCTGCCCTCCCCCCTGTTCCGTCTTGGCTTGCCTATTCCGGATGCTTCGAGGATTTCTAATCGCCTATAACAGGCTAACATAGCTGTCAAGAGGGTAGCAAAAGTGTTATTAAAGATTAAGTGTCTTTAGTTTTAGACAAATTCTCTCTGCTAATGTCAGATTAAGTGTGTGGGAGAATATGTATTATGATATTAGAGGCTGTATGGATGAAAGTAAATGGATTTTTCAATAACTGATTTGTATGAAACGTAGTATTCATCCTGGTATGTGTGACGGGTTTATTTATGTGGTCCTTTTATCGTTTGTTTCATGATAGTCACCTTGTTATCGCCGGCGTAATTCAGACCTTTATCTGGCGATAATGTCGATTTACTAAGTGGGACTATTAGCACCAGCGAAGTTGCTAGCGATTGGCGTATCACGAACCACCAACTTTTTTGTAGTTATAGATTTTACTTTAGGTAACCATGGGCTTTGATAGGGGTCTTCTTTCTAGGTCTCTGTAACTGGTAAAGGGACCTGCAGTTACATAGTATATGATATTAATTATTTTTGTTGCTCAGTCCTCTTAAAGATTTGTATTATGATCACGATTCTGCTGACGCTGACAAAAAGGAAGATGAAGCGGCCAAAAAGAAAGCAAACAGACCAAGTAAGTACACACCTCCACTGACGGACCTGATAACTTGCACTTTTCTATCCGTACGTGTGTAATAGACCTTATTCACGATACCCGCCATCTTTGCACGCGCTCAAGGACTGATGGGATAAAGGCAATGTCACATGGTTTCTCAGGGGGCAAACAAGTGAAACAAATTGCCAATGGAAGAAATCGCGGTTGAGTTTGTTTATTCTAGATAACAGGAAATGAAGACCTTTTCATCTAAAGACGATAATGTCAAAGTATGGGGGGAAGTGATCATTACTACTTTTTTTTGTATGCAGTATAACGACCGTAGATTTCCTCATGGCAAACAGTAATGATGTAAATCTTGCCAAAACTTGATACTATGAAATCGTCATCTCGTTTTGATAGCATAAACAAACTCGACCGCGAGCAAACTCGAACGCCACTATCTTAATTCGCAAGCTGGCTTATATGAATGAGTAAAGATCTTTCGGCTCTTCCTGTTTGCTTTCCTCTGTCAACAAGAACTAACATTTAAAAATTTTGACCTGATTGGTCGTTCTTGGGGCAGTTCGCCAAAGCATGTTGTGGGCAGGCAAATGAATAAAGAGTGTGTTGAAGTGATCGTGCTTGTTGGTCATCTAGAAACACTTAATGCTTTGCTGAGTATTCATGATAGCGTTTTTTTTTTTAGTTTCCTCTGCTTTTACTCGACGTTAACTCTTTCCTGCTATTCCAATCTTGGTATTTAGAATACGTGAAGCGTGTGATTGTACACCCGGCATTTAAGAACATTTCCTTCAAGGAAGCCGAGAGACTCTTAGCTGAAATGGACCAAGGAGAATGCATTGTGAGACCCAGCAGCAAGGTAGCCATGACAACCAGTCAATGATATGGGGGACCACACAGTTTTTTTCGCTTGTGTCGTTATTGCGTTGGACTGGCTGAAGGCCGAATCGCCACGCTCTAATGGGCGCAGCCGCAAAAACAACCTGTGGGCCAGGGCCTATTGTTACCCTGTTTAACATTGCAAATTGATAAGATTGGGAACTGGTGCCTTTAGAGGTACTAGGGTAGGGCCTAAGATAACCTAGAGATAGCACGGATGTATCCATAGCAACCCCGCATGCGAGAACCACACAAGCCACTCTCCGGTGCTTCGAAAACCGCAGGGTTCCCCGCCAGCGGGGTCACATGGAACTTTCGACACAAATCTCCCCCTTTTGTTACCCTGTTATCATTCAACGTCAAATTCTATTCTTGTTTTATTAACATCAATTAACTTAAACATCGACATGCGGGTAACTATAGAATAACTAAGCAACGGCCTCTTGCTTAGCTCGCGCGCCCCAATTTCCCTTCCCTTTTGTACCTTTTGCTAAACGCGGTGAATAACACTCAAATACACTTCAATTGAAGAGACTTTCTTAGTGGTGTAAATTGGAAACCACAGTATTAGCTGGTTATGACAGGGTCTTGCTATCATTTATTCAATATACTTGTTTCTCTTTCCATCAGGGTGCCGATCACCTGACCGTCACGTGGAAGGTTGATGAAGGAGTTTACCAGCATGTGGATGTGCGAGAGGAAGGCAAAGAGAACGCTTTTAGCCTTGGTCGGTCACTTTGGATTGACAGTGAGGTGTGTATGGGAAATCCTTCTGATAAGTCTGTAAAGGTTCTTTCATTTATTTGATTTGATTGCTGTGTATATTACGAGCCTCTCACGCAGAGGTTCTTAGGATTTCGTCACGCGTTCCTTCCCGTAGGGCGGATTGCGTGACGAACAAAAATAACGTCTCCTTGGGAGTTTATAGTATTATGCTGCATAAGTAAGTTAAAAGGGCTAAGTGCTTAAGAAATTATTATTGGCAATTTTGAGGTTGCTCCGCCGCGTGAAACTGGGTCGATATTGTGTCGAAATGCACGCTGGGACTGTTTTAGGGGCGGTATCATTTTCTTTATTGGCTACTATAAGGTTGCGAAGAGGCTGGGTCTTAGGCTGTGTTCACACTATGACGGATAGCTTTTGCGCCGGCGCGAAAACGATACGAAATAGGGCTCCTGTTAACACTTAAGAACTGTGATTGAGGCGCGATTTTTGTGACGCAGCTCCGCGTCATTCTCTAAAGTGGAGAGAGACATATCGGATAGGTGTCCATACTATATGGGCACGAAAAGTCACACAATGTTTTTTGGTCCAACACAAAACCGATTTACAATAAAATTGGCTCTAGTTCACTGTTATAAATTTGGAATATTGTAATTTGCTTTGTAGGAATTTGAAGATCTTGACGAGATCATCGCGCGGTTCATTCAGCCCATGGCGTCGTTTGTTCGAGAAGTTCTCAACCACAAAAACTACCGCGCCGTGGACGGCGTCAAAGCCAAGCTTGAAGAGTTGCTTCTTGCGGAGAAACGGAAACACCCGCAAAGAATTCCTTACTTCATGAGTACTACAAAAGACTTCCCTGGGAAGTTTTTCTTGGGGTATCTTCCTCGTGTTAAGGCCCGTGTGGAGTACGTCAGTGTGACACCGGATGGGTTCCGATATCGGGGCAGAGTACATGCTACTTTAAATGGTTTGTTCCGGTGGTTCAAGGAACACTTTAGAGACCCAATACCTGGTAGGTGTTAATTTTAATCTTAGAATTGACTGAACCCACATACGGGACCTCCTGTCAAAAGGTTATAGTTAGAACTTCTCGTTAACTACTTGCTCTAGCGAGCGACCGCAACAAATTTTGTTGTGACGTTTTTTAGTTTTCCATTGTTTTGACGGTCTTTTGAGTGACGAATTGCTACTTAGAGTATACGAAGAAATTCTAGTAACAACATAAAACTACGCAAATCGTAACTTGGAAATTGCATGCAATTTATTCTCTTCCAAAAGGGGTGTGTCCTCGGACCTCTCTGTCGAAAAGACCTTCTCTACAGTAGTTCGACTCTAGTAAGCGACCACTAAATCTTTGTGCTCACTTTCGGGAGGTTAGATTGTATATCAAGCGTTATCTCGATTAACGAGACAGTAGTGCCGCCAAAATTTTGCGGGCGACAAGGGGGGCCCGCAATCCTAATCTCGAGGTTGTTATTACGCATGCGTCGCATGTATGTAGCCAGCATTCGTTTGGACTTCCACTAAGAATGAATTGAATGCACACAACGCAATTTGATCACGCGCGTTTTGACCTTCTGCCCCTCGCAATCTGATCACGTGCGTTTTGACCAGCAGTCACGGGAAACTTACGCAGAACACAGCGATGGAGCAAAAGCGCTTGGACCTTCGATCGTTGTGGCCCGCTCTCCCTAACCTTTGGTTATTACTAGGCCTAACTGACCTACAGGGGTCTGTGACACTCAATCACCGACGGCAGAAACATCGTTTTTCCCAGATATCTCGACAGTGAAGTATGAGTTAACCCCTTTAATCCTAGACCATGTTATGGGGAGAAGATCTATCTCTCGAACTTTTAGATATGTGGTCGAAGACCTGTGGTGTTACCATTCAAATGAAACTTCATTGGCGGACGTTTTACGTTGTACTATCAGTTTCGTCAAATTTTACAAATAGAAATTTTGCTTTCTTTGTGAATTTTTACCACTCTTAGAAGTTAAAGGACTGTTGACGCTGCACGTGTACAGTGTTGAATCTTCGTAAAATTACCTCGTTTACCATAGACAAAGATACATCCCTTAACATGGAGTAACAATATGCTTTATATTATTATTTCCAGGTACTCCTCGTCATCGTGGGATGCCCATGTCAGAGAGCAATACCCCCTACACACCGGGGGGTACCCCATCGATTAACACCGACGTTGACCCCTCCCGACTGTTACCCCAACTTCAACAGCACTTCCCCAGGGGAATCAATGATCCTAAAGTGTACTCAGCTCTTGCGGCGGTTGCTAGGCAACAACAGCATGAAACGCAAGCGAAGGCAACGCCTACTCAGCTTACGCCTGCACAGTGGGGCGCGGTCGCTGCCCAGCACATACAGCGGCAAAACAAACAGCGCAGTCAACTCCAACAAACGCCGACGCAGCAGACACCTTCAAACCAAACTCCGAGTCAACAGGGATACCAACAATATCCACAGTACGGGTACTATCAGCAACATCAGGATCAATCGCAAACTCCTACTCCTACCTATGGTTACCAGCAAACGTATTCAGGACGCAAGTCAACTCCAAAAGAAGGCAACAAGAGCCGGTAATCTCAGAGATGTGCGGTTTTCTGATTGGTGTGGATTGAACATATCTGTCATAATATGTTTTCATTATGCTGTCGGCGAAACAATTTAACATTTTCACAGGCCGCTAGAAAATGTGATAATGGCTGGAGAAAACAATTACACAAAGGTTTATTTATATCAGTTTTACTGCTAATTGGACTCAACCGACCAACATAAAGCGGAAATATACAAAATAAGTGATAATTATGACTTGGGCACGTTGGTCATTAGGCAGTTGTCTTATTCCATTCACTTGTGTTGCTCGGCTCCAAATCTGCGTTCTATAAAATTACCAAAAGAAAAAAAAATTATAAAAGAATACAACTAAATAAAAAGACCACCAAATGAATTTCACACTGTTCTACTAGAAAAGAATGCGTTCTTCGTTGGAAGTTTGTTTGCTTTAGTGTGTTTTTGTGTCTGTCTTAAACTCAGAACAAAAGTCGAACTGGACATGAATCTAATGCTACTACGCAAAATCTATTGTTTTCGTGCATTAATGTTAAGTTGGAACTTACATTAAAAACCCACATATAAGAAGAACCCCTGATTTTCAACCGATGATAGGTTTAAAAAGTTATTCGTTAGAATAGAGTGGTCTGTGGTTCTTATCTATGTGCTGCGTATTTTGGCCTAATTTCAGCCCAAATGTTCTTAATCTGCTGTTTCTTAGGTTTTTTTACTCTATCCTGTCTTTGCTAAGGTTACTTGAAAAAAGTAGTTTTACTGTGAGGAAAGTGTTCTGATTGCCGAAGTGTTTCCGATCTGGGTTTAAACACTGTGGCAAAACAAGCTGATCAGCTTTGTAGGATAAATTAACACTACAATACTATAGATTTTGTTTTCATCAGGACTTTAAGAGACACCAAAAGTTTTTACTTATGTCTCAAGTTACCTGCGTAGCTGACGGTTTTGTGGGGTGGGGAGGAGGGGAAGAGTAAGGGAGCATCAAAACCGTAAGGAGAATGGGGCGGGAACAACGAGAAACGTTTTTGTTTCACCCCTCATTTGCACGCGCTTCGCGCGGCTTTATCGCTCATTTGCGCGCTCGCTCCCCTGACAAAAGCGCCCTCTACGCAGGCAGTGCCTCTAGTGAAATCAGGCCATTCAGTTTGCGATCTCGGTTAGTGTAAGACGTTTGTTCTGTGGTCGTGAATGTTAACAGTGTTCTTTATGTACTATTTTTGTAACATAATAGTTATCATATTGGTAAACGATTTTGTAACTATGAAATCTCTGTTAGAAAATAAAATGGAAAAAAAAAATGTAATATCAAAGAATCGTTTATTTGCTTAGTCTTTTTTAGCTGGCAGGAGCATTTTCGAGAGGGGGCGGTGGGGAGTTGAGATTATTGTCCTGGCTCTTTCCTTTTGCCGCTTTATTGAGAACTACATGCAAACTGTAAAATGGGACTATGATACTCTTAATTACTAACAGAAAAACTTCGTAAGCGTCCTCCTTCAAATAAGCGCCGGGTAACTTTGATCGGCTTGCCGGCCGGCTGAAAGTTGTAGTTCTGTCATCTGTAGGGTACTTAGTGGCGCTTTCCATGTCGACAAAAGCCATTAGAATGTAAGTGGGACACTAATGACCAGGGGGGACTCTTATATAAAAGTCACGAGGATGTTTGTCGGAACAACACTGCCCCAAAGGGGGCCGACCTGCACCTATTCCAAACGAGGTTTGTGATTGGCTGGGAAAACAATAGGGATGGTGACATAACAATGCCCCTATAACTGAAAACACTAGGTAGTGTAGGGTATAGGAACCAATGAAATGGGAGGTTTGGATGGGTGCAGGTAAATCGCCTAAAGGAGACCAATATGGGCGTGGCGCAGGTTTTTGGCTCTCTGTCCTAAAATCCTTTAATGAGAACCAAAATCTGCCCCAAAGCGATACAACAAGCATCCACGTTCCTTTACAATGTACAGGCACTTGGCCGGTGAGTTGCGGGGGGACCCAGTTCGAATAACCTGAGGGATGAGTCATCAGCAGCAGAGATAGTCCTAGAGCAGTTTTGGTGGTTGTCGGACGTAAGAACACTAAAGTATTGCGATCTTTTAAATTTCTAAATGACAAATTTTCCTACGTTTACTTGTAAAATTTCTTCCAATTATCCTCTGGTTGGAACCTGCCAGTATAGGCCTGATGAGACTTTAAAAGTAACTAAAAAGCTTGCGATCCATCGAATTCTAAAATACGATTAATTTACCATTAGCAACAATAGCCTTGCGCTCAACCTGTAAGTAACGTTTTAGTGACCAGAAAGAGTCTCCGCTAGTTTCAAACAGCGTGATTTTGGGCCAACTTTTCAGGAAGGGCGGGTTTAAAAGGACATTTGTTCACTTTGATTGTGTAGGATTTCGTGGCCTTATGGCATACGCTGATGTTTCCCATGTTTGCAGTTCGAGTTTCGATTCTTAGCTATGTATGCTATTTTTTCTGTTCTTTCACTTGTTTCTTATTTTTTTTCTTTCTTCCTTCCTTTCTTTCTTCTTTTTTCTGTTCTTTTTTATTTCATACTGTTGACCTCTTTCCTTGGCCTCCCCCCCCCACCCTTCCCCCCTGATTTTTTACAACCAAATTGCACAAGATAGACTGTATTAATTAATCACGACTGTTAACACTTCATGTAGACTCAGATCCGGAATGCCTGCACTAGACTGGATTGGTTTTCGATCCCCCGCTGCATGATCTCCAAATTCCTGTGCTTTGCGTTCATGGAGAATCAAAACCATCTTCTGGTTGCTTGACAAGGCAGTATAACCATCCGCTTCGCTAAATTCAATAAGCGCCCTCTTTATTTAGCCTAGCCTATTCCAGGCTTTAATTCAGATTGTGGGGACGGCGCAACAAAATGCGAGCAGGAACAATTGCGAGGGGTAGGGTAGGGTGGTGGTCGTCCCATATCTCCCTCTTTTTTTTCCTCTCGCTTTTTGACTTCGCACCACACTCAACTATCTGAATGCATGGAATGTGCTTGAAATAAATAAACCCCCGAGGGGCTTAATAGAAAATTAGAATATTCAGTGTGACGTCATGGTGCATTCGTTGTTTTGGCCGTTTTCTAATCAAGAAACAATTTTATCGATGAATTTTGACGGCGGGAGAGTGAAAATCGAGGTAAGAGAAACTTTGTTTTGCGTTTTTGCAGGAAAGTTTTATCGGCTCTATCGGGCCTATATTCTTAAAGGAGATGATATATGTTTAAGTTCAGCTTTTTTCCAATCAAAACTCTGCTTTGCTTATTTGAATTTGCGTTTAATACGCCCTAATCAACTTGAAACGACGTTTACCGGCAAAAAATCCACGAGAGAATGCCTTAAATATAATATTTTTGAATTCGTCTTCCGTATATTCTTCCGTGGCTCAGTGGTCTTGGAGGTTACGTGGCAGAAAGCGGGCGGCAGTCCGGGTTCAAGCTTCAACTGAGCCTAGTATTTTTTCCTGTTGTTGTTTCTTTTTTTCTTTTTTTATCTCTTGGTATCACATGTTTTCCTTCTTTTTTTTCCTTTTTTTAATCTCTTGGTATGTTTTCCCTTTATTCCCACTGTTGGCGCTTTATCTGAGCTTCACGAAGTTTGTGATAAACGTATGTCTGAGTTATTAGGTATGATCAGGTGTAATAAAAATTAATAATAAAATATTTATGCAGCGCTTATACTTTAAGTACTAAGCGCGTAGGTGTGACTAGGTATCGCGAGATACGATTAATTATCCCTTGGTATGATATGACCTGATATGATTAAGTTGCGCGCCGCAGTTTTTATTTTTTAGTTGTCTCGCTTTTTAATTTACTGCCTTTAAGTTTAAGAAACATTAATTCTAAAGCTTTATTTAGGAAAGCCTTGGACGATTTTTACTTGTAACTTTTAACAATCTTTTTACCTATTGGCTGGTTTCAATTTATTCATGCTGCTGCCCCTTTCCAGCTCACGAGGTTTTGCGTGAAACGTATTTCTAGATTTGCGTATGAGGCCAATGACTGGGTGATCATTAAATTTAAATTTTATTTTTTTTGAAATAGAAACCGACGTGTGGTATGCCTAACGCACTCTCTCCCCACTGTCTTACACACTGAATGGGCTTAGCGCTAAAATTTAAATAGAACGTCCGTAAGAACAAAGTATCATAAACAGTCTCAGGAAGGAAGGAAAAAGGAGGAAAGAACCAGGCAGCTTTTATGTATACTTTAATTTATTTGTTATCGTTCTATGATATCGAGGGACAAAAAAGGGACGCAAATAATATCGACATCAAGAAAAAGGATAGTCTGAGTGGCAGGCCTTCAAAAGGGAACGGGAAAGGAATTCGGGCGCACGGGCAGGCGCGTGCGCGGGAGAAATAAGAAGGGTCCCCATCCCTTCTCTCAAAGTGAGTTTTACCGGCTACGTCGGGCGTACGTTCTTCAAAGGTGATGATGTGCGTTAACGTTTGGCTTTTTTCCAATCAAAAACCTGCTTATTTCTGGAAATATCTTTGAATTCAAGTTTAATTCGCCTTGATCAGCATTAAACAGCGTTTACCGGCAAAGGGAAAATGCTATAAATACAATATTTTCGAAATAATCTAATGTGTTTTCCTCTGTGGCTCAGTGGTCTGGGTAGATTAGCTGGCATGCAAGCAGTCCTGGTTCAGTCTTCAACAGTTCAGCTTTTTCTTTTTTTATTGTTGTTGTTGTTTGTTTGTTTTGTTTGCTTTTTTATCTCTTGATATGTTCTCCTTTTATTCCACTGCGGGCCCTTTATTTGATCTTCACGAGGTTTTGTGATACACGTTGTGAGTTATTAGGTAAAACCGTATGATCAGATGTCACTAAGTATGGCTAGTAATTATCCTTAGGTATGATATGATTAGGTGTATGACAAACTACGATTATCAAACGACTGCTTGAGTATGAATAAAAAATTATTAGAATTAATATGATGTTAAGGTTGAAAAATGGAGGGCTGAAGGTTCGAGCGTAGCGAGTTATGAACTTT